GCTCCATTATAGTCGACCTGGCCAACAGCGTCGAGGAGAAGCCACCCTTCTTCTTCACGTCTAACCTAGAATCAATAGAGAATCTCGACACCAAGGAAGGGATGGATCTCTTGGCCCGTTTCGCATCCAGAAGCTTCAGCAAGGTCTTGTTCGACGGCATCACGTACGGAGGTGGATGATCGTACTTCAACTTCTCCAAAGCCGATTGCTCGTGTATACGTTGCATTTCCTCTTCACTTTTTTCGGGAATTTTCAAACCAGCAGTGAGCAAAACTAAGTTCAGACGATAGGGAGCATCCGGCTGTTCCTGTTCTCTAATTTCCAGCAATGGATCGATTATGGGTTTTTCCTCCTCGTCCTCCATGCCTTTCCGAGCTTTTCTTCCTTCCTCTTCCTCCTCTTCCTCCTCTTCTTCCTCATCCACATCCACGTCCACGTCGACATCTTCCATTTCTTCCGCGGCTTTCTCCTCCGCTTTCAATTCGGCCTCTAACCTCTCCAAATCGTCGTCAGTGATCGGTAGAAACGAAGTTTTAAATTGTTCTACGGCCGCATCATCAGGCATCGCTATATCAGCTTCGGCCGCGTACTTGCCAGGCTGTATCGAGTCTACCGCCACGAAGTGGATGACGAAAGTGGGTTCGTTGAACTCGATTACGCCGTACAAGAGATCCACTAGCTCGTTCATGGTAGCCGCCACGGCGAACGAGGCGGGATAGCCGCGAAGACGCCAACCCTCCTCATCGCTGCCGTAAGGGTTGAAGAAGAAGAAGTGGCCGTCGTCCTTCCAGATGGCGTACATTAACCGCCTATTTTCCAATATCAAATCGGTATATCGATTGAAGTAGCATTCGAGAGCTTCCGCAAGATTCGCGAGAGGGGTAGCCTCTCCCTGAACGACCTTCGTCTTTGTCTTATAAAACACGTCGTCCTCGCCGAATTTTAACCTAATCGGCAGCATCGTCAGGTCTAAGTGACTAGGTCTTGGCAGCAATTTTTTCTCCTCTTCCTCTTCCCCTTCCTCCATATCTTCTTCCTCCTCCTCTGCCTCCCCTAATATCTCTTTCTTCTCTACAATTTCGGGACTCCCATTGCGGATCCATTCGATGATATCGCCGTAAGTTACGTCACTGACGTCGATCAATTGATCTATGTCTATGTTTCGCCACAGGTTGGGATCCTTGAGTTTTCTATAAGCCAGAACAGCGAGGGCTGCTATCAGACCTTGCTTCCCCCTCGATCGTATCTCGAAACCGTCGTCTAAACAGTTCTTCGTGCCCTGGACGACCAAACGATGAGGATTTATCTTCCTGTAGCCCTTAACGATCTTGATGATCGGTTCATCGGCCTCCTTGCCCATGTCTTCTGTCTTTTCTTCGTCCTCTTCGCCCATGTACTCTTCCTCCTCCCGCCATTTATCCATAACGGTTGTTCCCTCCTCCTCCTCTTCCTCTTCCTCTTCTCCAGGGACCTCTTCTGGTTCCTTCTCTTCCTCTGGCGGTAGAACCACGTAGGTCGTCGGCTCGTCTTCCGTCATCATATACAAATCCGCGTCTCTCATCAAAGTCGGGACCTGAAAGAAAGTTG